TGATTGACTAATCAGTGTACAACGGCTGAGCCTGAAAGCAGCTCTCCAGCTAAATACGTAGGAGAAATATCTGCCAGAGGTCAGCCTGTTTTTCATACCCAGATGCCCTTTTACCTCCCTAATTCTGGAGTCATTGCATCACTCCAGGATGTCTTTATGTACCGTAAGTGGATCAACCAGTCCTGCTCCAAGGCAAGGATAGGAGGGCCGTGTCTGGGAGATTGCAGGCTAGTTCAGTTTGACTGCTGCACCTGGCCAGCTGGTGAGAATGTATAATAACAAACAGAGTTAACAGATATGTTTCTACTACGTAAGATACTATGGAAGAAGAATTGATGAGGAATCCGTAAAGAGATCATGGACCAAATTTCTTCAGAGTTTTTTGTCAGACAATGAATATGTGGATAAGGACAGTCTAGGTGATACAGGAGGGGTCTCCCCTGTAAGCTGCTTTACTCCCCATTTTGCTTCAAGGCTTGCCGCTGTCCAGAGTCCATCCCGGACTAAGCAACTAAACCCTTGCTGAGGAAGCCTGGGTATGAAAAAGAGGAGTTCACTACATCACGTCAGCTTTTTTACCCTGCGGACAGTACGGACACAGATTGTACCAGATTTCACTACTTCCAGCGTGATCAGAGCAGTCCCCTGTCACAGCAGAACATCGTTTGGCCAGGCACACCTATTACACCTTCCATGTCACTGAAACAGCTTTCTCATCGCTTCCATCATTAATCTCGTACCATTTTACAAAACAATGGCGCGAGGCCATGGAGGGGCTGTTTGGCTCTGGTCTCCCTTGCAGAGACCTTGCTCTTTTTTATGGCTTCACCGCTGGGTAGATACCTCAGCAGTTATGTGAGACAGGTAAATAACTTTCATCATGTTAAATTTATGGTAGCGGCTCCTGCTGCCAACTGTCATAGGAACACCATGCAGAGACCTTTCAGTTTAAAACATTAATGTAGCCAGCGTAAAGGCTCGAGTTGCTAATTGGCATTCTGGTTGAGTTCAGCCTATGTGCCCCACCATCCTGTCTTGTGCTAGATATTCAACCAGGGATAACCACTGAACGCCTTGCTCTGCATGGCCACCCACCAGGACTGAAGCTGCCGGTGAAGTTTCTGTGACTTCAAGCTTTTGCACCAGAGCAGGAGCAGCCTTCCGACCTGTCCCATCACGTTTCTCTGTGCCCTGCTCCATCTGCTAACAAGAGGAACAGGAATTTCCTTCTGTGCCTTAGCTTCTCCCCCTGCAAGCCCTGCTCGAGTCATTTGCCCATCAAAGCACAGATTACTTGTTACCTGGAAGCATCACATGCCACGAAACGTCTGCATGCAGTTTCTCTGCACTCCAGATATTTCCCAGCTCCATGGATGGGCCATCAATAGCTTGGGGGGGCAGTGTGTCTGGCACTCCAGAAGGTTACAAGGGGAAGGCTTAGACACACTTGCCATGTCCTATAAACTGGAGGTCCCTCATTTCATAGAACCATAGAATGCTTTGGGATGGAAGAGACCTTCAGAGGTCATCTAGTCCAACCCCCCTGCAATTGGCAGGGACATCTTCAACTAGATCAGGTTGCTCGGAGCCCCGTCCAGCCTGTCCTTGAATGTTCCCAAGGATGGGGCATCTACCACCTCTCTGGGCAACCTGCAATTTGCTCAGGCAGGGTGGGCGATACAGAGAAGGAAAGTAGGAGAGGAACATGAGGTGGACAGAACATTCCCAGATGCTTCAGCCCACCCACCTCACGTTCCCCAGGGCTTCTGACCTCCCAGGAAACACTCTGTCAACATGCAGATCTGCTCAGAGTAGGAAATTTAGCAAAAACCTCCTGCAACAGACTCCGCATATCTGCACACAGGGAAGGATCAAAGCAACCCCAAAGGTTACCACACTGACAGGCTTTTGGACTGGGCAGGTCAACAGCTTGGAGGGCAGGAGCAAACAAGGACAGCATTGTGGCATCGGTGCTTCCTGGGCCGTCATTGACAGTCAGCTCGCAGCTCTTCATCTTCTTTCTGTTCATCAAAGCAGGCTAATGAGAGATGCACCAGGTATCACACGCGGGTCAGCTCCACTCATATCTCCTGACCTTTCTCTACAGGGCCTTCCGGGAGCAAGAGGAGAGGGCCACCACCTCCAACTCCCCCACCCCCTGCTTCCCTGAAGGAGCTGAAGAACAGTGCCGCCATCCCACCGGTCCCAGCAGCCAACAGCAGCCAACAGCAGCGCAGCCCGGCTTGGGCCACGGAGTCGTGCGGTGCCTCCTCCTCCTCCTCGTTTATGCCACGCGGCCCGTCGTTCACTTTACATTTGCTGTGACCTCCTCAAATACAGATTCTGTGCAGTGGATTTTCTTGCTACGTTATTAGGTAAGATTTTAAAATAAATAAATACTTATTGCTGTGCTTTGTGTGCGTTGCACAAACTGAGAAAATAAATGAAATTATGAACGACCTTGTAGTAAGAAGGTTTCTCAATGGTTTTACTAAGATGATTTTGAGCCTTCAATAATGCCATGTTTGAAAAACAAATATGATCCTACTTCTAGGATCTTGATTTTAAAAACAGCAAGCTTTTTAATCCATGGTAAATCAGACTGATCTATCATTTGGGTCCATTTGTAAAGCCTGGCAAAGAGACTACATTTCATGCCATCTAGTTGGTCACCGGTGAACGGTCACCTG